ACATGCTTAAGTTCTTCAAAAGCTGATGCAGCTTTCGGATTCCACCCAAACTTATCTTTTTTTAGCTGATCAGTCAATGGTGACGCAATTCGAGCATACCCAGCCACAAACTTTCGATAATATCCTGTCAAACCCAAACATCCCCTTAATGCTTTCAAATTAGTGGGCGTTGGCCAAGAAATCATGGCTTGGATTTTGCTTGGATCTGCTGCTACTCCCTGCCCGAAAATGATATGACCTAGATAGGCCACTTGAGTCCTACCAAACTCACATTTCTTTCGATTGGCATAGAGACTATTGGCCTGCAAGATTTTCAAGACCTGTGCTAGATGTTGCTGATGGGTCTCCTCTGAGGGGCTATAGATCAAAATATCGTCAAAGAACACTAATACAAACTTCCGAAGAAAAGGCCAAAAGACATCATTCATCAAGCATTGGAAAGTAGCGGGGGGATTCGTAAGTCCAAAGGGCATGACAAGGAACTCGTAGTGCCCATCGTGAGTTCGAAAGGCAGTTTTATGGACATCCTGACTGTTGACCCTGATTTGGTGAATAACCAGACTTCAAGTCTAACTTAGAAAAGTTTTTCGCACCATGTAGCTCATCAATGACAGGAATGAGATACTTATTTGGTACGGTAACCTTGTTTAGAGCCCGATAATCCACGCAAAAATGCCAGGAACCATCCTTCTTCTTAACCAGCAAAATCGAACTCGAGAAGGGACTACTGCTGACTTGAATTATTCCAGCAGTAAGCATTTCCTTGATCAATTTCTCAATCTCATCCTTTTGATCGTGAGGATAGCGATATGGTCGGACACTAACCGGTTGGCTGCCTTCTTTGAGCACAATAGAGTGTTCATGTCCCCTAATAGGTGGTAATCCCAAAGGCATGTCAAAGACAATTTCATGATCTGCCAAAACTTGATGAATAAATTGCGGCACCTCAAGACTCGTTTCCCTCAAACCCTCCAGTTGATTAAACTTCACCAAAATTCTAGCTCCCTCGCGTTTAATGGTTCACATCATAGCTTTTAGAGAAACTAGAGTCTTCCCAAGGGAGGGATCCCCCCGCAGAGTGAAGACTCATTACTGAGCCTAAATTTCATCACTTGCGTCTTCCAGTTTGTATGAGTCATCCCCAGAGTCTCGAGCCACTGAATTCCCAGAATTACAGCAAAACTCCCCAACCCAAGAGGCAAGAATTCTTCCACAATATCAACCCCCTGCATATGAAGTGTTATTCCACGGTATAAGCCTTCTCCACGTACAACATTACTAGTTCCCATAGCCACTCCATAAACCTCAGTTTTAACAATAGGTATTTGAATTCTATTAACCAAATCTAAGGAAATGAAATTGTGGGTGGCACCTAGGTCAATCAATACCACAACCTCCTGCTCACCGATCATCCCCTTCAATTTCATCGTTTTTGGATTAGTCAAACCCACCACCGAATTAAGCAAGACTTCCGCCATTTGATTAAGCTGAGATGCCTCCGGTTCGGGCTCTGCCTCTCCTGGCTCTTCGCCCTCACCCTGCTCTTCTTTTTCCACATCATGGGTAAGAAGGACATTCAATTCCTTCTTCTTGCAGAATTGCCCCGGCGCCCATTTTTCATTGCACCGATAGCATAACCCTTTTTCTCGTTTCCTCTGAAGTTCCGAATCGGAAAGCCTCCACACCTCTCCGAAAAATTTTCCTAAGCAATTTCCCCCAAATGTTGATCGAGAAGCTTCAGAGTGGAAGCTTGTGTCCCGTGTTGCCCCCCTGCTCGATGAAACCCACTGGCTGGTGGATTATGGGCTTTGGTCACCAACAATTTTTCTTCTATCTTTTGGGCCAAGTCCATGGCCCAGCCCAAGTTGATGGGTTCCATGATTCGGACCTCAACTTTGATCTCTGGCTTCAACCCATTGATGAAGTTACCCAGAGCTACTTCATCGGAGACATTCATTCTCTAGTGGCGTCGATAACTCGATGAACTTCCGGCGATACTCCTGCACGTTGCTGATTTGAATAAGAGCTAACCACTGTTCATGGACTGAGCCAGCATGGGTCATTCGGGATTGCTTCAAGAGAAGCATCTTCATCTTTTCCCAAAGGACAATGAATCGCTTTCTATTTTCCCATTGATACCACAGTATGACATCTCTTTCAAACGCCATAATCGCCACCTCAAGCTTCTCTTCATTAGTCAACCGATTGAGGGCGAAATATCGTTCTGCCTTAAAAATCCATCCATCCGGGGTTCGAGCCATCGAACAGTGGCATCTCCAGTCTCCGGGATCGGAATTCATGGCAAAATCTGTTTGAATTTGAGCCGTCGTCTAAACCATGAGATTCCCCCTCGTACGAAAACGATCCGCCTCGAGCCGTATCTTCTTGCAATTTGAGGAACTGTTCGAATCGTTTGTTCATATTTTGTATTTCCTCTTTCAACGTTCCCACTTCTCGTTGGAACTCTTCTTGCACGGCACCAACCACTTCCTCCATGGAATTCATCCGCTGAGCAACATTTTTGGATGCCATCTCCCAGGTACGTTTGCTCTGATACCAATTTGATACACACTGGGATGAAAACAGACTTAGCAACACAAATAAAGGCAAAAAAAATGGGTGAGAGAAACTTTTATTCACTGTCTGAATAGTTCGATACTTTTCAAGCATTCGAGAGGCTTGGGAACTCTCCAAAATGAGCAAGCTCACTACAAAACAAATATTTTCATACCCTTCCACTAACCAACCCTTCCCCCTATATTCTCCTCACCCCCTAAGCCAAAACAGAACACCAACAAATACTAACAGAATGCCAAAACTTATTCCCTAACAGAAATGCATAACAAAATTGCATATTAGCTCCCCTTCTCTCTAACCACTTCTTACACGTCAGCTATGATTTAGATTTCCAGAATGACCCTTGCGCCTAGAATAGGTGAAACGCACTTGTGGCCTAACACACATCCCCTTAGAGACATGCACATGCATACATCTCTTGTCGACATTCTCTCATTTTCCTCAGTTACGGACTACTGATCATCTAAATTGAGTGCCAAGTAATTTCCTATTATTTAGTGTTGGATTCCAAATTTACCGTCAAGTTCATTCCTGTCTCAATCTTTCATGACTATTTAGTAACAAAGTCATTGATGACATTAAGTTATAGATTCTCATATTAGTCACATTTTTTTGCTCTTTTGCCTCATTGAATTTGGGTTCAATGTTGCATTTTTATTTGTTTTGCAAGATGGAATTCTTGTTCTTTTGGATAGGGTTTCCTATCTGTTATCTCATGCAGGAATAACCTAATGTTTCATGCCTCTGATTTTTTATGACAGGAGTATGGGAATCACTGAAGCATTAAGATTGCAGGTGGAGGTTCAGAAGCAGCTCCACGAACAACTTGAGGTATGCAAATGATACTGAGGGCCCTATCTTCTCCACTCAAAATATATTGGTTTCTTCAGCAGTTATCTGTTGTTCTGTCTAACAGCATCATGCAGTGGTAAAAAGATCGTAGTGATGAATATGATCCAACTTTGACTTAAACCTCACATTTTCAGACATCGTTACATTTTTTGCCTTATGCACATGGTATCTCTATGTTTAAAGTGGAAATAATGTACTGCTAGTATACAAAAATTGTTCTGCCTTTCCATGATACTTCAGTACAAAGTTTACAAGTGTTTTTTGGTAAGTAGCTGAGGCCTTATGGCATTGGAAAAAAGATTGCATCTATATATTCTACTACTGTATGGTTTTCATTGCTTAATAAACGCTTCCACTTCCTAAAAAGGGGGAGAACATAAATAAAACTAAATGTTGAAGGAAGTTCATTGTGCAATCCATGTCTGATTGGTATATGTGGCAGTTGAGGATGGCTGAGTCCATCATCATTGAGATGTTTTGATCAGCACCTCACTTTACCAATTCTAGGCACGTGCATCTGGAGATACTATTACTTTGAGAGTGCAATGCTTTCAGATCCCAAAGGTTTTTGTTGTTGGGTTCCTACTAAACACTGCATCATCTTCTGTATTAATTTTTTCTTTGTGTAGGTTAAGATATTATCCTTAGTCTCTCAAAAGTCGAAACAATAGTGAGCTACTGGAACTTAGGTGGATCTATAGGTTTCAGTTTCACTTAGATATTAGTCTCTCTTTACTTCTTTTGTTTTCTTCAAGAAGTTCATTTTTTGGTTTTTTCTTTTTCTGAGGGTGGGGGGATGGGGGTGGGGATAATGTGCCATTAACACTCAATCAAAAAATGAAATTTCAAAAGAATGATACTAAGGCTTGGTGTGGTGAAGTAAATACGAACCATTTTTACATTAAAGAAAACCTCAATCTGAGCTGGCATGCTTAGTGATTACATAATGGACATGGACATGGACATGGGACATGGCCATGGCAACAGGACAAGTTTTAAAAGAGTAGTACATGAACAGATAAAGACATGCTACATATAATTGTCTTGTATATCAACATAATAATCGTATGTTATACATCAAAGTTATTATTGTATCTTATATGTTTTAACATATATAGTCATGTATTTATGCAATATAATTATATCATTAGTTTACAGAAAGCAATTGTTTTATGTAGTACTGTAAAACTGTTTAGACTAATATATCATAGCAGTCAACGATCATCCTCCTAATCCTTCGTCTTTCATATGATTGTAATATGAATAATCTGGACAATCTACAGTTGTCCATATTATGACATGTTAGCAAGTGCCCAAGAAGTGTCGGCCACGTGTTTATTTTCTAATTACAGACACATTACAGGTTTGCTGGATACGTGGCCAAAGGAGTGTTATCATGTTGGACATGAGTCCGTAGTTAAGGTTTTTTTCTTAGTTATGGGCATGGCCAACAAAGTATCTCACGACTGTTCTCAAGTGTCCGATCCCACATGGACAAATCACTTTCTTAGAAGTGATTATGCTTCTTAGCTACATAAACGTGCATGTGTGTGGACGAGGAAATATTTACTTCTGGTGTAAGAGTTGATATCCTTAGATGTGCCAATAAGTCTTTTTTACCTTTTTTTTTTAATTTTAAAGTGTTGTCTTCAGGTTTCATTGGACAGCGTTGTATAGTGCTCTTCTATCACATTTATTCATGATTTTATCCTTAATTTCACTTCTATATCCAGTCCTCTCCATTTTAGGTGTTCTGGAGCAAATGGTAAAACGTCACTATCTGATTACAAAGAGTGAAGGGAAGATGAATTGTGAAAATGACATAATGATTCCTTGTTAGTAGGCAAGTTTGTTTTAGGGCCACCTCGTATTGCAGGTACCATTAGGTCATGTTTGTAATCAGGCTTAATTATATATTAAAATTTAAAGGGGGAGAGATATCAAGTATTCTCTCTTCGATTCTCAGGTCTCTAATCATCTCATGCTTCTTCCTCATTCCTTATTTAGCCACTACAGAGAACACATCAGATGTCTATGTCATAGGTAATTGAGTCCATGGTACACCTTCTCTGCATACTTCTATAAAATCTGGGTGATCATAGAAATGAAATGCCACCAGGCTTTGTTCTTATATATGAAAAAGGCAGTTCAATACACAAGACTGCCGCCACTGCGAAATGGGTAAGGTCAGATGTTTGTAATGTTTCAGGCATGCAGTGTTCTTATAGCACCCCGATATTATAATACTTGTATGTGGGGGAGCGGGTTGAAGCAAATAAATATTTATGTTACACTCTCTATAATGCCTTAAACTTTTAAAACAATTGGTGGTTTAACAAGCAGAACCCTTTCCCACAAGCTATTGCACCAAATTTAGTGTTGGGTTTTGGAGGCTGATTAAAGCTTATTTTGGGGCTCAAAAGTTAGAAGAATTTGGGTTCAGAGTGTCTAAAAGGTAGAATAAGGGGTGATAGTTTGACACTTAATCATGACAAGTCCGGGAGAACACTCTTGTACAAGCCATGTCACCAAATTTGAAGTTGGTCAGCAGAAAAGAAGGGTTTTCAGGGTCTAGTTAGAGTTTGTTTTTTAGCTAAAAGTTGATGAAGTATTACAGTTTCAAGTTTCTAAAATGTATACCAAAGGGGAAACAACATGATGCTCAAAGGCCTTTCTGAGGTCATGGGGCAGTGAGTGGTTCCTGTGAACCATTCCAGATGGTTATCTGGGGTCTTGGGCTGTGGCATACTGTGGTGTTATTCTTGTACCACATATCAAAATGATCTGTTCCAAAATTATTACATGTTTAGCTTTAGAACCTTGAGCTATCTTACAAGTTCAGCAGTCAAGTGTGATTACTTCCCCCTTGCCAATCTTTGCCTTGGGGATAAAACAAAAATTAGCAGTTGTTCAAGAGTATATGTGCTTAATATTTTTTACACCCTTATTATGGCATATATGTGTATGTGTGGATATGTATATGTAAGAAGGATTTGGAATACGGTTGTCATACGATTGAATATTAGTACTGGTAATACTCAAGGTTGCACTTTTGTTGTGCAAGTGAATTGGACAGAAGTGTCATGAATAGGGACTCCTCTGTGTGTGTGTGTGTGTGTGAGAGAGAGAGAGAGAGAGAGAGAGAGAGCAGTAGTGTCCGCAGATTGTACTGATCTAGAAGTCATCTCTTTCCTTCAGATACAGAGAAATTTGCAGTTGCGGATTGAAGAGCAAGGGAGATACCTTCAGAGGATGCTTGAGCAACAGACAACTTCGCTGTCAAAAGTGATACTGCCTTCTCGTGCGGATGATAAATTGGAATCCTTGGAACAGGATCTTGGCAATGGAGGAGTTGCTGCAAGTAATGCCAGCATGTCAGTTGAGAAAACTTGCCAAAAAACATGTGAGGAGCAAAAGGCATCAGAGAATAAGATTTGTGACAATGTTGACCCTGATGCTAGTGGATCAAGTCCCCCTCCCACAAAGCGTGCAAGGACTGATGAAGCTGCACCATCATCGCCCAAACTGGCATCTTGATTAAAAATCTGGTATTGTGATATCTTCCTGCTTCTGTGCATCACCTGGTAAGTGTGAAGTGTGGATAGAGACTATGTCATTTGTTTGATCCAAACAGCACCTAGATAAGAGGATTGTGGAATATTAGTGATATTCCCACAAAGTTATAACGTTGTACTTTTCTTGATTTGCTGTTGGATTGGGATGGGGAGTGCATGTTCATTTAGAACTGGCAGTAAAAAAACAAATTAGCTGTGTATGGGCTCATGGGTAGTTTTCTATGAAATTCCAATGTTTCATGTGATGCCATTTTTATGTATAGATTCATGTGTTGTAGGATTTCAGTGTCATGCGAGGGCCGTTTAAAATTTGTGCTATTGGTCTGTGGTATTCTTGTTTTGAGGGTACGGGTTATGAGGTTGAGAGCAATGCTTCAAATTTCGGTTACTAGGTAAACGAATTGTATTTGTGGGACTTTTGTGTAATATGTTTGTGCTTATGTTAAGAGTTACATGAGTTAGGTTTCAGAGGATGATATACAAAATACAAGTATTCTCTTTGACAAGAGAAAGATAAACGTAAACAACAACAGATCCCACGTCTGCACTCTTTCTTCGTAGAATAAGTGACTGATTGGAATCTGCCTTGAACAAAGCATAGAAGGGTGGATTCAGACTTGCCTAAGCTTTTATTACGGCGAAGGGAAAGGAAAAAAAATCTATTACTTCATACTTTGTTTTCTTAGTTAATGAGCATCCAAGGGTTGTGGCTTACGTGTTTTCACTTGTTCTTTTTTACATTATTGCTCACATGAGTTCCGGTTCCACCCCTAGCCATGTGAGGGGTCGTCTAGGGCCCCACTTGCCTAGGGTCATGTTCTAGTATATTTCACAAAATTATGTGAATAAATATTAAAAAAAAATTTAGGATGTTTCGTAAAATGATCAAAATGATTTTAAAAATATTTTTTTAATTCATAAATATATGTATATTTTAAAAAGAAAAAAAGAAGATCACACTATATTCTTGTACACAAAACTATAAGACTTTACGCTCTTATTTTATCTAGATTTGTAATAACTATGCCTTATTTATTCAATCTTATTTTCTTAATCTATAATTTGAGTTAAGTTAATTTTAATATAATCAATTACATAATCTGTTTGTCCTTCAAGTTATTTTTCACTTTAATATGCATACTAAAAGATACGAATTTAAAATTTAAAATTAAAAAATAAAAATAAATAAATTATTCATATAAAAATAATTTAAGATACCATCCAAAATGTCTTATGTTTGCTCTGGGTACGGCATAAAATTAGGGAATGGAATGGTTTGAATTCATATTCTGATACTAGAAAAGGGGAGGTCTACGGTACCACCCGGTCAAAATTTGGTACGGTACTAAAAAAAAATGTGTGGTACTCAATTTTTGTCATTAAGTATTAAAAAATTACTTATTAAAAGTGAGATAACTTTATCGATAAAAGTAGTACCATTTTTTTTAAAGATTGTAACCTCAGCAATCGTTTTTGTGTAGTACTTCACAAAAGTTATAATTATTTAAAATTAGATTATAATTAATAAAGGTAAAAGTACCACACGAAAACGGCTGCGAGGTTATAATCTTTAAAAAAAAAGATGGTACAATTTTTAGCGAGTAATTTTTTAATATTTAATAATAAAAATTGAGGACCACACATTTTTTTTGGTACCGTACCGAATTTTGACTGGGCGGTACCGCAGACCTCCCCCTAAACAAGTGTCGATATCGTGGTAGAACAACCATCGAATACTAAACTGCCCTCTGATGTCTGCAATTCTCAATCACTAAATGTCAGCAGTGGAAAAAGTGAAGAAAATGTCTTTTGTTTGCTGCCTCAAAACTGGTTCATCAATCTTATCAAGAGTAGCTTAATGTTTCAACCCATTCATATTGCTTCACAGATGCTACTGTCTGATCTTTTCTTCATCTTTTCCGCGTAAATTCCAGAACTACTGTTATTTGTCATGGGTTCAAAATTAAAATTAAAATTAAACAAAGGTTCTCAAAAACCCAGACTATACTACACGCAATTCGACATCCAGTCTATTTACAGCATTTGAGGCTTAAAGAATGCAACATTATACAGAGAAAGCTGTGCAAATAATCCTTCATATATATCACTATCACAAGATAGCAATCACATCTATTATTAGTTTTTTGAGGGAATTATTCCTTTTTTTTTTTTCTCAACAATGTTGCTTCAAAAATGTGTTACCAAAATGGTATATTTAGTTGTGGAAAATAAAAAAATATGTAAAAGTGCGGGGTGGATTTGAATCCTCCCATTTAAATTTTTGGTAATTTCAATTGCCCATTTATATAATAAAGTACAAACCATTTATATAATAAAGTACAAAACAACTCAAATCCCAAAAAATAAACAAAATGACTTTTGTTTTTCGTAGTTGAGATTGTTTTAAATTTTACTTTAAAGTTAATCCGACGACTAATATTAACTGCTCAAAT